AAGCAGTTGGGAGAAGTTGGATGAGGAAGGAGGCAGGTGGATATGATCAAAATGCACTGCATACATACATGAGATTCTTAAAGAACAAATAAAGTTTAAATGAAAGAATTTCCAGACAACACAGAAAGCAGATATTGCTTAAAAAAGTTTCAGTGCTTTTCCTTCTTCTGCACACAGCAGACCCAAGTGAACAGACGAAATCCACAGCACCTAAGATGACACTGGAGAGTTATTTTCGAAATAACCCCACATATCACAGTCATGTGGCACACTGGAAGCTGTCTCCACAGCTTTCTTCTGGGAAAATTAGAAAGCAAATAATTCCTTTGGTAGCACTTTGCAGATGGGAGGAGAGCTCTACCTTAACAGAATGACATTTCCATCCAGAAGGAGAAAAAGAATGCAAGGCTTGAAAACATGCAGGTGATATACGGAACTTGAAATGTTCTGAAATTAAATTATTTTTACCACACTATCTAGTAGGTAGAAAAGTATCTTCAGTTTCATCCTGAAGACTTCCTATTGTAGGAAAGACACATTGTCACTGAATATTCTAAGTTTTTGTTTAGCTGGTATTCTAGTTTGTTTCTCCATTGCTGTGACAAAACACTCCGACCACTACCAACTTGGGGAGGAAAGGGTTTATTTGTCTTACATCACCCAGGTCACAGTTCATTAGGGAGCCCAAGGTAGGAACTCAGGGCAGGAACCTGGAGTCAGGAGCTAAAGCATAGGCCCTGGAGGAACTCTGCTTACTGGCTTGCTCCCCTGGCCCCTGCTCAGCCTGCTTTCTTATGCAACACAGGCCCACCTGCCCGGGGGTGGCACCACCCACAGTGGGCTAGGCACTCCCACATTGTTGGGAAGCCCTGCTGTGTTAAGTCGAAGTCTCTCCATGTCCGGATAGCCCAAGAGGCTCAGCGTTCTTATGCAGAGACTCCTTTTCTCAGCAGGGCGCCCCCCTACTCTCTTCCTGACTCATCTTTGAAGTAGCCGTCACAGATACATGGCCTCTGGCATAGGAACTGCCAGGTTTTCCTGGCAATGTCTGACAGCCTGGCAAAAGGCCACCACCACATGTAAATGGGGCATCCTACAAAGCACCTATCAACTAAGGCTTTTGCTACTGCCCCCACACTATAAATATCCTGGTTTCCCCCTAATTAATCAGAGCTGAATCACTAAGACCTGGAGCCGAGCTGAGTCACTGAATAAAGGAGCTATACCTGACTGAGCTGAATTCTGTGTCTTACTGCCTACGATTCAGTCTCTCCGGAGGGGGCTGTCCCTTCATAAACAACGACTCCCAGAGATTCTGCTTTCGCAGTTCCAGCACCTCCCCTCGTGACCTGGCGGCCGATGGGTCTCGAACCTAGAGGGAGTGCCCGGTAGCTTGGAACGGAACACACCTGGAAGCACAGTGACCAGTAGAGTCGCCAGCATCCAGTAGCCACGGAGACCCTCAGCAATGCGGCGTGCGAGAGACAGGTGCCAGCCAGCAGCTGGCGCTCCGCGAAACCCGGGCGCCCATACCACATCACTTATCAAGAAGATGCCCCACGGACATGGCCACAGGCCGGTCCTATGGAGGCAATTCCCCGATTGAGGCTCTCTCAACCCGGGTTCCTCAAGTTGACACCAAAGCTGTACAGCACAATGTTTCTAATTTGCACTTAGTTTGAAGGATACAATGGCAAATAAATTGTGGACTAGCAGTCTTTTAATTAATTTCAGCACTTTGACTATGCCACCCCATTGCCTTCTGGCATGAATGATTTCTGGAGAAATACCAGATACGACTTACTGAAGAGCTTTCTGCACGGCTCCTTCCTTTGTCCCGTCAAGACAACACCCTTTTATTCGCTCTAACAGTGTGATTATGATGTGTCTAGGCATAGAAAATTTTGAGTTTATCTTATTTAGAATTTATTTGAATTCATGAATATTTAGATTTTAAATGGAATTTGATAAGTTTTCAGACATTATTTCTTCAAATACTCCCCCTTCTTGAAACTCCTCTCATCTTTCTGGATTTTTCATTATGCTTGATGGCACCTGACGCTCTAAACACTTTCCCTTGTTCCTTTTCTTTCTCTTACACACGACAATCTCAGTTGACCTGTCTTTGAGCGATTATTTGGTCTTGAGCCTCTTCACTGAACCTGTTAACTCCATTGCTTGGAGTTTCTTTGCTTATTTATTGAATTTTATTTTGAGACAAGGTTTTGCTGGTGTAGTCAAGTATGGCCTGAGACTTTGTTCCATTTAGGGTATTCCAATTTTAAGGGTTTCCTCCATATAAAATATTTGTCTTGAATTTATAAGACATTGATAACTATTAGACTTGAATGTTCTCAAATATTTTATGTCTTACCACTTCCCAAACCTTGGTAGATGCACACTTTCCAATGCGCTTGTGTTGGCATTCTCTTTTGAAAACATTAAGTTAGTTTCAGTCAATCAACTACAAGTGCTACTTTTACTCCAAAGACTTTAGGCAGACACTCCTGGGCTCTTGGCCTTCTGCCATGGTCACAAATAATGCCCTTGATACAATGCCCTTGATATGGAAACACCTTGAATTAGGAGATCATGAATAACCTAAGAAGTACCATGAACAGGAATCTTACTGTTTTCAAACACTAAGAGTTTGGGATTATTTATCCGTGCAGCATAACTGAGGCTTTCCTGACTGACATACTGACCATTTTCCTTCTACATACGTTAATTTAAAAAATATTGTATTGAGCTTTTGTGCGTTTCATATAATAGATCTTAATCAAATTTAGATCCCGTCCCCCATCCCTGTCCCCCTCCGCTAGATTTCATTCTATCATATATGTTAAGTCATAGTCAGTCAAGCATGTGTACCCAGATGTCTCTCGGTGCAAGTTCATCCACTGGGGTCTAGTCAGCCAATCTAGAGTCACTTCCTTAAAGAAGATCTGCTCCCCGTCACCCCACAGTAATCAGTTGCCAATAGCTCTTTGGCGAGGGTTGGGGCCTGCTGCCCATTGCCCTCATTCTACACTAGGTGTTTGTCTTTTGAACATTTTTAATTGAATTTTTGTGATTTTTATACAATATAATTTGATGGTATTTAGATCTCATCCCCTCTCCTCACCCTAAATGTCCTTCAATGTGGCTCTACCCACGGGAGCCTGGTTATCCCACCAAGAGCCCCATCGCTGTAAGATACTGTCTCTGACCCTCCCAGCAGTCATTGGTTGCCAGCCTCCCCACAGCCATGGCAAATTCTAACCCTAATCTATGCTAAGCTCATTTGCCTACGCTGCTTTATTTGCCGTTTATTCGCTTATTAGCGCTTGCTTCTTTAAATTAATCATTTCAGGATCCCACTGTTATTTAACCAGCATATGAATGCCTTAGCTTTCCAAATCACCTGTAAACTGGAAAGAGAAATAGTCACTTTACCATATCCATAATAAATCCTCAATAAATGTTGAATTAAGTTAAATATATGCCTATGTAAGAAATCCTAATGATACAGTGTTGATATATTAATGGATTTTAAAATAATGGTATTAATGAAATGTTCAGTGAATGTTATTAATCTGTATATATTAATTGTACAAAATGTCTTCCATTATGACATTTTCACCTATGCACATACAGAATGTGATACTTTCATAAAATAAAATCCAGAGGAAAAATTACTGCTTTTGTTAGTTGGTTCATAATGAGTGTATATGTGTGTGGTATTTCAAGTTAAATTTTACCAATGTGTTAAGCGGTCTCCAGAAATTATAAGTGGAATATCTTATGAATATAAAATATCTAAGTCATATAAAAAATATGAAACCTGAATTTTCAAGAAATTTAATTTTTATAAAAGTTGTATTTATAAATTGAAAGGAACATGTGAACATATGAATGAAGAAGTTTAACTTTCTTGTCTGTGTACTTGAGGGGAGACATGTATGTATTTGCACACACACCATATACATCAGTCCTGGATGGAATTCCATACATTACCAAACACACCTGTAGCAACGGTAGGTAAAGGTCCACTAGAAGCATCTACTGCAAACCACTCCAGAAGGAATCCCCTCCCTGAGACTGTAGAATCAGAAGAAAATTTGAATGTCAAGGAGTTCCTACTGGAACTGAAGGATTCTGTCTGGGCACCACAGTAGGTGCCAATCAGGCGGGAATGAGTGTCAATCCCATCATAAATCTGCATAGAAACAAAAAGATAATAAAACAATAGACAACTACCATATTTTCTTCATTTAAAAAAAATTTAAAGGGTGCTTTGTATTTTATAAGCTTATCAAAGTGGAAAGAATAATGAGCAAATGCCTTACTTCCATTTAAAAGTGGCAAATATATTATTACAAATAATTTAAGGTGTTCCAAAAATATAGCTTTGTTGCAGAATTAAACTCTAAACATGTTTGTGGGACAATGATGTATAGTACATCTGTGGGTAAGAAAGTAGGAACTATCCTGACAGGGTTTGTTTCACCAAAGAAGGGAAGACAAATGCCAAGGGAGCCATCAGAGCCCAGGGCGCCACACATCGAATACACTTAGCAAATCTTTCATTTGCTTTTAAATATTGAATTACCTACATAGAGGCACATTATGATAGTTTCCAAGGAATCAGAAACAATTTCATTGTAATAATTATACAATCTTTTTTAGGTTATGTAGTTATTATTCCCACACCTATGGGGCTAGCCATCAGATAATGGGTTCTTCTCAAGGCACTGAGCATCCAAGATGAGTAAGACTGAGTTGTGGCCTTTAGGGATCTGATAGTGTTTTCTGGAATTCACGGACTAGCCAATGTCTGGAGGGCAAAGACCACCATAATTTCCCTGCTTGTATTTACATATCTTTATATCATGCCTGAGAGTTTTAACACTCTAGCATAAGAAAAATAAATTGGATCTCTCTCTCTCTCTCTCTCTCTCTCTCTCTCTCTCTCTCTCTCTCTCTCTCCTGCTGTTGGACAGCATGCACTACTGTCCTCCTTTCTTGGACAGCATGCACTACTGTCCTCCTTTCCCTCCCCAGTCCTTGTTCACAACAATGCTGAAATCTATATCTAACTTTTTTCTTAATAAACTCTCATTTTGTTTCATAGAAAAACATCAAAAGAAGACAAAAGAACAAACAGGACACAGGATATTCAATAGAATAAATACTTGGACAATATGCATGTGTAGACAAAGCCAATAAAGAAATTATAACAATATTTAAAACACCATTGATACAGACTAAAAATAATAAATATAATACTAGAATTTACTTTACATAGGTAATGGTGAGATGATTTGTTAGAAACTATCATGCATCTTTTATCTGAGTAGGTATTAATTTAGACTTATATTTGCTAATAATAAATCATCACAATTATAGATGTCCACCGCACAGGGAAACTCACCATTAATTTGTCATAATAACAGTTATGCGTTGTTTCAATGTCCATTTCCAAGATTCTACCGTGGATCACCTGTGATGCATTAACATTTACTGTCCATCTGTAATTGGAGTTATGGGGGTAATTTCCAGGCCAGAGGGGAGATGCGATTCTCCCATGAGTTCCCACAATATTATCACTGCCAAACACTAGGAGGAAGAACAGAGTTATAAATCAGACCTAGTTAGAATTCCTCTTTAATCAAATAAATAAGACAAAAGCAAGAGGCGGCTATTAAAAAGGATGGGCTTTTAACTGACTGGGATTTCTTTTCTGGCCACTGAAAGAATTACTGCCTCCCTTTTGGTTTCCAGACTATCTATTAGGTTTTAGAAAAGGGTGACTTTGTGAATGGAATTCCATCCCCTGAGAAGGCGGCATGGTATCAAAAGAGGCAACAACTTCCCATGTGAAAAGATTTTCCCAGACATGATGGGACTTGGGGAACAGGGCTGCCAATCCAATCCCACTCCCTAATTTTACTTTACCAATTTTGCTTTCTTTTACAAAGGAAAGAACTTAAAAAAATTTTTTTTTTCTTGTTAGATTCTGTAATGCAAGAGAATTAACACAGAGAATTTCAAATTATGGAAAACTTGAGTTAAAGAGTAAAACTAGCTAACATTTTCTGTCTTGAAAGAGTATCCTACAGTTATGCCTGAATGCTTATCTCCAAACAAAACTAAAGGTCTTAATTTGAAGAATGTAGAGCTTATAGGACCAAATGAAATGAGTTTGATAGAAATATCCCATGCCTTGACTATATTAGAAGACTCATTTGCACAGTATCATAAACAATTAAAACAGGTAGAAATTGGAACTTAAAAAAACTGGAAACATTGAGCATACTTTCATTTTTCTTATGACTCATTCATGCCTAATTTAGTTTGTCATATTACATAGCAAAGTAATTCTGTAAAGACAATCTCAGAGAAGACTGTATAGTGTTTAGAACTGTTCTTGCTTAATGCATTGCTGAAACGTGTCATCAATGTAGTTTATAGGATATATTCCAAAAGCCATTACTGAAATGAACCAACTCACTCTTATTAAAAGTGGCCTGGAATCCTGTGCCACTGCCTGAACCATCAGAGACAAATCTGATCCACAGACTGTGCCCCATAATAGATGAGTAATTGTGAGGGAGGGAGTTTCCACAGTATCGTCCCAACAAGTGACCAGTGGCATTTCCTTCCCGGATCTCCACAAAATCTCTGTTACAGTTCTGAGAGTTCTCTAACTGGAAAGATCTGATGAGAAAACAAAGAAACAAATGAAAAAGTTACAGAGATTAAACTGACAGAAGAAATTTGGGGGATTATCCTGAATCACATGTTGCATTAAACTGTTCACTTAAAACAAACAAACCTTTCTTTAACTTTGATCACAAAATCCTTCAGCTATGTCACAAATTCTCCACTCAAATTTGTCAACATACCTATGCAAGAGATACAAGGCAATGCATTTTCTTCAAGCTTTCTTTCCAGTGAGAAAAACCAGGAAAAAACAGAGAAAAAGTATAGAAGGCAGAGCGCGTTGAGTGCCAGGCAAGCTATAAAGGTATAGAAGAGGAAGCTGAGAGTGCAGCCAGGGCTAGAGCGCGAGCCTAGCATGCACCAAGCCCTGCCTTCAATCCCCAAAAAGTGGTCATGGAATTTTGAAGCACATTTGATTGTGAGAACAGCTTGATGGGGGCAGTTTTGAGAAGGAACTATAAATAGGATCTGGTGAAGGAACACAGGAGGCAAGATGACATCGTGAAGAAAAGTATGTGGTACACTGGGGGACTTGGGAGATGTGTGGTCAGGTTAAAATGGTGCCACCAAGAAATGCAGCTAGAATCTTAGCCACAAACGAGCGTGCAGTCCATACACGACAATGAAAAGTCCCAAGGAAATGCAGTCATGAAAATGGCACTACAATAATTGGATATTCTGATGGTGAAGGGAAAAAGAAATGTTAGCTTCTTTCTTTATATGCTGAAATTCATTCAGTATGCCTTCTTATGCACATATAAACACTAGAAATATAAAACTCCTAGAAAAGAATACAATATCTTTGCAAATTTGAGATAAGAAAAGCTTTTTTAGAATGCAAAAAAGTACTGTCCATAAGATAAACAGCTAATAAACTTTATCAAAAATAAACATTTCTCCTCAGTAAAGACATAAATAAGAAAATGAATAGACAGCTCATGAGTGAGAGGAGGGGACATCATTACAGAGTATTGAACTAAGGCCTAATAGTTGAAATACAAAAGGAATTCGTACAAACAATAAGATAAAACTTCAAACATATTAAAATTAAACTAAATACTTAAATAGGTATTCATAAAGGTAAGTGAATGACCATTGAGAATATGAAAAGAATTATTATTATTTATCAGAGAAATGCAAATTAAATGTCACAATAATCCATTAATTCATATCCATCAGACTGGCTAAAATGAAAAAGAGTGGTAAGATCAAATGTTGACATGCTTGCAGAGCAACTAGTGAGACTATGCACTGATAACAATCATCCCGAATAATTCTTTAGCAGTTTCTTACACAATTCCACTAGTCCAGAAATTCCACTCCTGGATATTTACCCAAGAAAAATTAAATCGTATGACCATATGATATTCTGAATATAAAATTACATTTACAACTCAAAAAGCAAAAACTAATAATACAATTAAAAGTGGCAAAAAACTGAGCAGCCATTTCTCCAAGGAAGATATATGGATGATCAACAAGCTCATGAAAAGATGATCAACATCATTAGTCACTGGAGAGATGCAAATCAAAACCACACTGAGGTAACACTTCACACGAGACGATTACAAGGACAAAGAAAAGAAGTGTTCATGATGGTGTGGAGGACTGGGATGCTGTGTATTACTGATGGGAATGGGAAATGGAAAACAGAGTGGTGGTTACTCAAAATGTTTTCCATAAAATTATCATGTGACCCAGTATTCTGAAGGTAGGAATGTGATTCTTTCCAATGTTCAGAGTAGCGTAGCATTATTAATAATATCCAAGAAATAAAAACAACTCAAATATTCATAAGTAAATAAATTAATCAGCAGACTTATAAAACACAACTATTACTCATCCTTAAAAAAGTATTTAATGCTGATACATAACATGGACAAACAATTTAAAACATTAAGTTAAATAA